CCCAATGAGCTCGCAAACCTCAGAGCTGCTCTAGCTCCGACGCGCAATGTTCGAAGTCTAGGGCCCGTCAGACGACGGGCTGCGATGTCACCCTTTGGCGACAAAAACGATGATTAGCACGCAGTGATACCCAAGAGAGCCTTGGCGATGTACATGTACATACATACATGCATACATATCTATGTAGTGTATGTGCATTGTATATTACCATAGGATGAGCTGTGCTCCATCTTGAGTGAGAAGCTTAATGCGAAGCATACAACGCTGGATTGGGGGAAAGAGTGGGGGATTCTAGAACTTCCCCGATTCCTTCCCCCTCATTGTCCCAAGAAATAAAAATCCAGCCCGGAAAGTTTTTGCACCAAAATCATCATCCCTGGCTGATTGACAGTCTGTTAGTTTACCTATCTTGGTGCGACCAGAAACGCAAATTGCTCGTGCCTGAACGATTGGCCACAGCGGGGCAAAGGGTCTTCTTTCACTCCTCCTCCCCCACTAATACCCGCTACGCCACAGGCTGCGAACCTCTATAGTGTGAAAAAGCAGGCATCTTTACACCGCTTTTAGTGTCGAAACCCCTTCGTCCTCCCATCCCTGGTGCCAACTCAACCCCCCCACGCCCCCCGACCCCTAAACAGCCCGCAATCAGGAGATTTGCCATTTTCGAGGCATGATTTTCCTCCCGACAACACTCGATTCGTTTGCGCGCGCCGAAGTGGAAATACACAACAATCCTATCTGCAGAAAAGGCGCTCAGGGTCAAAACTCTCATTCCTTCCGTGGGCACTCGTTTCCCGTTTGATTGTTGTCTCTGCATACAACAACGACCCAGAGCAGCTGAATGTCCTTCGTTTGACCTTCGTCCCTTCGCTCTCAGTCAGGACAGATATATTTCCTCCTTTTCTTGGAACTACAAGGGCCGTCTCATTCTTTCTCTCCCAAACGCGCACCACAGGAACACTCGCACGAACGAATACTCCCTCCCCCCAAAGAGGAACCCGCAACAATGGCTTCATCCGCCGCTGCGACCGTGACGAAGCCGTCCAAGCGCAAGTCCGCCGCCGCCGCGCCTCCCGCCGATGGCGTCGCCGCCGGTAAGCTGACGACCGATGCGCTGTCCGCCGAGAAGGACTTCTTCTGGACCTACACCGAGGAGCCGCACCGGACTCGCCGCCTAGCCATCATCAAGGCTCACCCCGAGGTACGTCTGCTCATAAACCCCTTTCGCGCAACAGCTCCCATCGAGGCCGATGGCTCGTCACAGCATCCACAGATGACTAACAAACCCACCCCTCCGACAGGTCACAAAGCTCTGCGGTCCCGAGCCCCTAACGAAGTACGTTGTCGCCGGTGTCGTTGCGGTGCAGATTTTCTGGGCCTGGTATCTTAGCGAGACGTCCTTCTTCTCTTGGAAGTTCTGGCTTGTCGCCTACGTCTTCGGCGCCACGGCCAACCAGAACCTCTTCCTCGCCATCCACGAAATCTCCCACAACCTCGCTTTCCGCTCCCCGCTCGCCAATCGCCTCTTCGCAATCTTCGCCAACCTCCCCATCGCTGTCCCGTACAGCGCCTCTTTCCGCCCCTACCACCTTACCCACCACAAGTCTCTCGGCGTTGACGGCCTCGACACCGACCTCCCCACCGCCATCGAGGTTGTCCTCTTCGACTCAATCCTTGGCAAGGCCTTCTTCTGCACCTTTCAGATCTTCTTCTACGCCATCCGTCCGACCCTTGTCTACAGCGTTGCCTTCACCTGGGTCCACTACGTAAACATTGCCGTCCAGCTCGTCTTCGATTACGCCCTGTTCACCACCCTCGGCAGCAATGCCGTTCTCTACCTCCTCCTTTCCTCCTTCCTCGCCGGCTCCCTGCACCCGCTAGCTGGCCACTTCATCGCAGAGCACTACGTCTACGAGACCGTCCCCGCCGGCGCCCGAGACGCTGCTAACAACATCCCCGTTCCTGAGACCTTCTCCTATTACGGCCCCCTCAACTTCCTCACTTACAACGTTGGCCTGCATAACGAGCATCACGACTTCCCCGCCGTCCCTTGGACCCGGCTGCCCAAGCTGCGCGAGGTTGCAAAGGAGTTCTACGAGGACCTGCCCCGTCACGAGAGCTGGACCTACGTCATCTGGCGCTTCATCCTCGACAAGAACGTCGGTATCACCTCTCGTGTCAAGAGGAAGCAGGGCGGGCGCATTGTCGGCGGTGGCACGAAGTGGACGCGCGAGGAAATCGAGGCCTGAAGTTGGCAAACGGTTTGGGGTTGATTTTAATTTGAAGGTTTGATTTTCTCTTCTTTTTTTGCAAGATCAAAAGACCAAAAGAAAGTAGGAGGTTTGAGTGTTAAAGAAAACGAGTAGCATCTGCATGAAAAGTAATGCCGTTTTTATAGGTGTTTTTTTCCTCTCTCCAGTTTTCATGAACGGATGTTCCTCACGACATAACCCTATTGATATGGAACAAGTCAACATGGGAACTTTGTAATAATACTTCGGGGACGCGATAGGCAAGGCTTCAAATGGCGTACCTTTGTCGAGAGGGGGGGTTCTCGGGATACCCAGCTACCGCAAATTACGAACAAACATAGAGTTGGAGTGCTTGTTGGACATCAAGTTGTGTAAGACTTGACACTGCTGCGCCGAGTGTCCAGAAACCTTCAATGTAATGTGTGTGAGACGATAGGGAAAAAGCCAACATCTCGTTGTGCGCGTATCTCTTCTGCACCAAAAGTAATACCATAATGGAGCTTGTATCATCAAATACGTGGATGGTAAATTGGATGTTGGCGCATCCGGAATATGAACAAATGTAAATCAGACCAAGAAACATGTAACTCAGCACGGCCCAAGGCCAAAATCAGAGGGATAGGGCAAAATTATGAGATCAGTTTCTGAAATCAACTACTTCGCGTCCAGGACGCCGGACCGTTACGACAAAGAGAATAGAATCCGTATGGTTACATGTGTGATTGCGACCCCATCCCATGTCAAACCGATGCTGTTGTTGATGGATGCTCTCCATCCGCCACAAACATCACCGTCAAAATACCCACTCACTATGCTGTTCTCTATTAGCATACAGAGTGATGGCAGCAATGCTGTACACCTCTGTGCCAAACAGCTTTCCTTCATAAATCCTCCGGTGAAAATCTCGTAGAAAAGGGAATTGTTATGGAATTCCGAAATCAAAAGAAGAAGTAGGCAAGCAAGAAGCTGAGTAGACACAGGATGGCAACCACCTGCACTGAGACTCCGTCAACTCCCTGTCTTATCGCCGCGGCAGCTTCTTGGGTGCTGGGAAGCTTCTCGCTCTCTGTCTTGACACGTTGACGCAGCCCGCTGTTGTCCTGCAGGCTGGCGATTTTGGCCTCTGCCTGGGAAAGTTTCTGCTTCAGCTCGTCGTAGGTGGCCTGAGCGGTGTTGGCGACAACGTGACTCGCAGCGCTAACTGTTGACTGAGCCTTCTCAGAAACGCCATCGGCCTTTGCATCGGAAGTCGAAGGGCGTGCAGTCGAAGCACCGGGACTACCGGAACCATCGGCCTCTGGACCGGGGGATGAATAGACATGCGAGACATCGGGAGTGTGGTCCTATAATTATTAGTATAGGTATGTGTCATTGATCGGAGAAGACAGTCAAGACATACGCCGTTCACGACAGAGTGTCGGTTCGGGGTGGAGGCTACACCGGAGGCACTGGATTGGTCCTCGGCGGTAAGCCAATTGACGCGAATCTTTCTCTCAATGACGGAAGACTTGTCGGTTTGGTCGAGCTGTTTACCGGGCTTGGTTAGCCTAGGCGCCACTATTTCGGACGTTGCCATGGGGTATGCTCTCACAATGTTGGCAATACTTGCGAACTCCTTGTCAGCGGTGATGGGGACGGACTGGACGAGAAACTTGTCGCGGCACTTGGTGTCGAGAGGCGGCTCCTGCTTCATGGCCTGAAGGAGAACTTGTCGCGGTCAGTTGCATGTGAACACCTGGCAATTGCGAGCTGCATACCGGTAACCTCTACATCTTGTCCAGGCTCGACACGACCCGAGTTGGGGCGAACACAGTACCTGAGATGCCGTCAGTCGCTTACGAGGGGCCGCAGGGAATGCAGGGGATCGTACTGCTTCGGAGCGGTGGTTTTAACCTGGTCGCATGCCTGGTGAGCGGAGAGTGACGTGACACCTGAGGAACAGGGAGGTGACGCACCTTGAAAGCGATAGGGGACTGGTTTGGGTTCTTGATTCGGAGGATCTGAGCTACTTCGACAGTGAAGGGCCCTAAAAGAGGAGGAAATGTGAGTACGAGGCAGTAAAGGTGATCGCGCAAAGGTCCAACTCACGTCGGAAGCTCAGCTCGGCGGGCTCGATATCGACAGACATGGCGGAAGTTGTGGAGAGGGGGCTTAGGAGGGCGATACGAGATCTTAGGCTAAAGGTAAAGAGACAAGACGGTCTCGGCGCATTCAACGCAGGCCTCGGCCTAAGCAGAAAGGAAAAGAGATTTTGCGAGCGGAGGGTTAGGGGAGAAAAGTGTCGAAGGACGGTTGCGCGCGGGGCGATATTAGAAAAGGCGCTGGTTTGTAGGATAGGTAAAGGCAAGGTCAGGGTTTCGGAAAGTGCTCGAATGGAAGGAAGGACGGAAAGGAAGGAAGACAGGGTTAAAGCAGGTGTTTTGCACGTAGGAGCCTACGACGTAATACGCACCACCGTAACCAACTGCAGCAAGACCCGGGCTGGACTTGATTGGAATAGGAGGATGGATGCGCACGCAGTCAACCTCTGAGCAATCTTGCCTAGGAGTCCAGGCCAGGTTTCATTAAGGTGCACACTCTAGCCACTAGCGGGCAGTCAATCGGAGCTGCGTGCTGGGGCCCTCCACTAGCAAAGTGCTCAAGGAACAGGGGGTTAATCCGGCTCGGGGGGTGCGTTTGTCCACTAGATTGGAATTTGAGGGACCACTTCCTCGTGGCCCCCGAGGTGGAAAAGTACTCTACACGAGATGACTGCCAGGGACTACACGGGCGAATGGCCGAACTAGGTAGGCACAACTGCTTCTCTCTGTAGAGCACAGAGATTTGGAAGAGCTGGACAATGGAGAGGCAGACTGCCAGAAGAATGCGAAAGGGTCAATAATAGAGCTGGAAGATCAAGTGTACTTGTATTAGTCAGAAACGAGAGGCAAGGTACCTGGTATAGCAGGATGAGAGGCCCATTGTCCGTGTTGTCGGTCCCTCCCGCGCACTCCAGCCACTGTATGGAAACAACCCCTCTATCCGTCCATAGTTCGGAGAAGGCACCTGCAGATGACGTCTCGCAAACGGAAACAGCGACTCAGACCAATGCTTCCCTCACATTCTGCGAATTTGGCTTCAATAAACCGACGTTTGTTCACAGACGCACCCGAATCCGATTAACCACATCGGAAATAAATACTGCAATACACAGTCTCCTTCAGCACGCGTACCACCTGTGCTCACGAGCTTGCCAGATCGTCGGTTTTCATCGAAACTGCCTGCACCAGCAACCACCACCACCACTGAAGATGGCCCAGTCCGATCTTGACCAGCTGCTCGACATGGGCTTCGAGAAGGCCCGAGCTGAGCTCGCAGTCAAAAAGACAGGCAACCGTTAGTTCTATGACATGTTACCAATCGCTTCTCTGAGAACAGCTTCATTGACAACCCTCACAGTGAACGGAGCTCTTGAGTGGCTTGAGGCGAACCAGGACAAGCCTCTCGCTGAGCTTACTGCCGCTGCCAGCACCGCCGCCAAAGACGACGAGGACGATGACGCAGGGGAAGTACAGGCCAACATCGATGCTCTCGAGAGTGGCGCCACCGCAAAGTCGCTTGTTTGCAACGAGTGTGGCAAGCGCTTCAGATCGCAGGATACTGCCTCTTACCATGCGACGAAGACGTAGGTTCTCCCGTTTTCCCCTTATTATTCTCGCTCTCTGTGCACCATCCCCCAAACCTGTTTCTAGCTTCGTGGCATCTCTCAGTGACTACAGATGGGTTCACCTGCTTCGTTCTAGGCTCATGCACTGACATATAATAGGGACCATACCGATTTCTCGGAGTCAACGGAGGAGATCGCTCCCTTGACGGACGACCAGAAGAAGGCCAAGCTCGCCGAGCTGCGCGAGCAACTTAAGGAGAAGAAGGCGAAACAGGCCGTTCTGGACAAGGAGGAGGCCAGGCGCAACGAGAAAATTCGCATGAAAGCGACCAAGGAAACCCAAGAAGCCAAGGAAGAGTTGCAGCGTAAGGAGCAGCTCAAAGAGGTAGCCAGGAAGCGCCAGGAGAAGCAGGACGATCTAGAGGCGAAGCGCCGCATTAAGGCTAAGATTGAGGCCGATAAGGAGGAGCGTCGCCGCAAGGCAGAGGAGACCAAGGCGGCAAGAGAAGGCAGAGCCCCTGAGTCTGGTCCCGTCGCCGCACCCTCCATACCGAAGGCCACCGCAAACCATAACGAGGCTCGCTTGAGGTTGCAGACGTCGGGTGGTAACATCATGAAGACTCTTCCCTCCGAGACTACCCTCTTCGAAGTGGCCCAGATGCTCCAGTCCGAGAATGGCTTGGAGGTTACGAGCTTCTCAACCACGTTCCCTAGGAAGACGTTTGAGGGTCACATGGATTTGAGTAAGACTTTGAAGGAGGCTGGCCTTACCCCTAGCGCCGTTCTCATTGTCAAATGAGTGTGTCGTTTGCAAATAACGAGCAGGAAGTAAAGGGCTGCATGGACTGGCGTTGGGAATGTAGAAATTAGATGAAAAGATGTGACAGTGGCAGTGCGTCATGAGAATCAAGAATCGACATGAGCTACAAATCTGGCCCACGAGATTGACATTCGTGCCTAGCAATGTCATCTCTCATGGATCCGAGTCTGGTTGCTCCTTCTATGACGAGGGACGACCATACAGACTGCCCCCTCGGGGATTGATAATATCGCGAAGAAGCAATGATTGGGCCTTGTTGGGATTCCGCATGGAACAAGCCCCATTTGATTGGCAAATGCGACTTGTCTTGACTTAGGGCAACCGCTTAAGTCGGAGCGCAGAGGTTAAGTTCTTGGGCGGTCTTGATTTGAAGCAGATATACATGATTGCGTGGGTCCAAACATCAAGACTCGAATCGAGTAACGTCGTGCTCGTTCCCGACTATTGATCCCTCAAGGTGATCTCCATTCGTAGACGCGGATGCCACCGCGATGATCTAGGAATCGTGTCAAACCTCAATGTCGGCGATGTTGCGAGAACAGGAACCAAGAGTGATCAAGAGTCACGATGGGCAAGACACCGAATGTTGAATCATAAGCCATTCCTGCTCAAGCTAAGCTGGTGTATCATGTCGACGTACGCGACTCCCTCTGTCAAGAGGCGCCGCGCATATGTCCCGGTATGTTCAAAGCATGCCAAATTCCACTTTCATTTTTTGAGGATGTCCAGTGAACTCCGCGTAGAGAGCGTCTTCACATTATCGTATGAGAGCTACTCTGTCCAGGCAGCAGGATATCGTGCCTCCACCCAATCCTTTATGATCGCGCGAATCGTAGAACCCCCGGATCCATGCAGTTGAAGTTACAAAGGGAAGGAAAACGTCGAAGAAATCGCTTAGTCGAAGAGACCGAATCCCATGTCGTCGTCGGACTCCTCCTTCTCTGTGGCTGGGTGTTAGTACACAGCGGACCTGGTTGAGGATTGGATCGAAACATACCCTCCTCCTTCGGCGCCTCCTCAGCGGCAGCCTCGGCGGCACCGCCAGCGGCGGCAGCACCGCCGGCAGCGGGGGCGGCAGCGCCACCACCAGAACCGACGTTGGAGAGCAGGTCCTTGACGTCCTTGCCCTCAAGAGCCTGTTTTTTCCTCAAATCAGCCTTCCAAGTTCCTCGTCGATCGGTAGGGGGAAAGAGTTGTCGTGTCGTACCTTGGCGAACAGAGAGGTCCAGATGGGCTCGACGTCCTCAATCTTGGCAGCCTTGATCAGGGTCTGGAGCTTGTCGGCCTAGGAAACACCACCATCGTTAGTCTTCGTTCGCGTCGAAATATATTTGGTCTTGTGTCATTTTTCGCGGCGGGGTTTGTGTGTTTTCGGGGCGACGCACAGTGATCTCGACGCCATCATCGGCGAGGATGAGGGCCGCGTAGGAAGAAGCGAGCTCGGCGGTCGACATTGTGACTGATTTGGAGGGGGGTGTTTGCGACTGGAGGTTGACTTCGCGGATGGTGAGTGTGATTAACGAAGGAGCAGTCAATATGGTATCGCGAATTCATTCCACGGTCGAAATTTGGCAGGGCTTTCAAGACCTAATCCTGTAGTCGGCGCTTTTTCGGTTAAAGTAAGTGCCTTTCCGATGGACCCGTTCTACGATATCTTTGATTGGTCGAGGGCGCGAACCAATAGGGTGACAGATCGACGGCCTGGGCTGCTGAGCTTGCCAGGCTCCCCGCTGCCGTCGGTGTCACTTGGGACATGCCCCACATCGATACCTCGATTTGTGTCTCCAGTGTCAGGCGTGGCAGCACCAGTTCATCCCCCCCACCTTTTACTTCTCACAAGCAGCTGCAGTTGACGTGCACCATTCCATTGGATTCCGGACCAGCTGGGCTAACTTACAACCGCGTGCATCATCGCATTTGCACCACTCACCTTATTACATGGCACGCATACATACTTGGGGACACCGCGGCAGACAGATTTTGTCACAGACGTCTTAGCAATATAATTCTTCTTTACTCAACCGCCCCCGGCGCAGCAGGAAGACGAGCGGACACTCGGACTGAACTGAGATTCCTAGCCCCGCTATCGTGCTTCGTTGAATGTTGGAGCATTGGCAGACCTGCAAGGGTACTGACATACAGCACAAGAGGTGCATGCCTTTGGCCGTCCATGATCGCGAACAGCCGGCAGCTACCCTTATTCCCACTTTACAACCCTCTCAGCAATCAACGCCCGTCGTAAATTCCGTCACGCAATATGGATACTCCCACATGCCCCCCACCGCGGGACGACCGCGAGAAGGAGATCCTGGACAAGCTGGTTGCGATCCGCGACAGTCTGCAACTGCTGAAGCAGGATCGGACGACGTATATTCGCAGTCAAGATGTCCTACCGCTGTACGATGATACCATCGAGCAGGTGCGCCAGCTCAATGAGTTCCGATCGTCTGATCGAAGAGAGGAGAACAGAGGTATTCCGCTATCGCCGCGGCTGTGCGGGGTCAACGGCTAATTTGCACTACAGTGGACAGAGTATTAGAGAGCTGTTTCCAGCTTTTGTCGCTCTTCTTCATGACGATCGGTCGAAACAACGAAGCCCCAGCCGCCTATGCGTTGACGTCCACCATCAAGAGACTCCTGGATCACCTTACCGAAGTCAACCTGTACTCCGCTAAAGACCTCGAGAGCCTGTCGCACACCCTCCGCAAGCTGGCGCATAACGTCAAGTCCACCGAAAATGAATACTCGCCATACCTCATTACTCTACTATCAAACAGATTAGAGCTTTGTGAACAGTCTTTGGCCAATCTCAAAAAGCGCCTGGAGCGTCTCGAGGATCCCCTTCCGAAGACATACGAGAAGCTGATTTCTATCCTGAGATCCATTTCTCTGGCAAACACGCGGGCCAAGGTAGGTTTGTTGTTTCAAAGCATACGATTGTACGTCTAACACTGTGCAGTTCTCGTCGTCAGAGGTCCAGAACCTGCGATCCCAATTACGAGAGATAGATCAACAGAACAAGGAGGGCAAGTTCATGACTGCGGACGGACGTGTCCCTGCTGGAAGTGAAGAGGTGACTGCACTACTAGAGAAATGCCTGCAATGGTCCGACGTTGTGCTTGAGAGGTACGACTCCAATCCTTCACTCGGAAATACGCTGCTGATTTTGTCTCTAGAAAAGGAGTGATCCCTGAGTCATTCCGGCCGATATACGACGTTCTTTTCCGCATCCGTAACGAGCTCGAGAAGCTCTCTATTACGAAAGCGTGGTCTCTACGTGAGGCAGACCTCTACGACTTCCAGAGGCAGTTGGACAAGATCGACGAAAACAGAGTGAACGGCAACTGGCTGGACGAGGACGGTAGACCTGCTGAGCTCTACGTCCAGCGTGTAAGTAAATACTCCGATTCATGCCGGATCCTAGCTGACACTGTGGGCAGACCCTCCTTTACCTCATCAGGAGAAGCTACGCCTATATCTACTCACTCATGATCTCCTCAGAACCCGTGTCTGAGGCCCTGTTACCGATTTACAACCAGCTACAAACGCTGAAGAGATGCTTGATCGAGGTCAAGAACAGCGGCGGTGTCCAGTCTGTCAGGGAACTGTACCCCTATAGTATGAAGGTATAGATCTCTAATCTGGAAATCTACCCAGGAGTTCATGTTGACATGTACAACAGCTTCACTCGATCGACAACATGCGTCAAGACGGAAAGTTCATGGTCAACAACGATATTCCGGAAGGGCAGGGCAGTGTTAGCGAGCTTCTCGCCGAGTGTTTTGACCTCAACTATGAACTCAGGGTTGCTGCTGAAGAGCAAGCTGGGGCAGAATGATGGGCCGTGACTTTGATTCTTTTTTGGGCGTAAGTGGACTAGCAGTTGTATCGGGTCGGTCTTGGGTTCTCTTACTGGCCACTGGGACTGTCAGGACGACAGTCCAATGGGAAAGGTTAAACGGAACAAGGCAAACTCGGGTGTATTCGAAATGGACCAATGACATGATTTCTCGACTTGGGGGGCGTGAGCTCGAGCTTCGGCAAGATATGGGGTGGCACTTCAGTCGATAGTAGTGCAATGTGAACTGACGTTCCATCCCGACTTGAGGTCTCCTAAAAGTTCATCAGGACTCCGGATGCTTCAGTACGAGTACGTTATATCACCTACAGAGTCACGTCTCGATTCTGTCGAAATGCTGGGCGTCAACCTTCACAAAAACGTCCTTTTTCAGCACCTTATGTGTTCCTCCTTGCCCTCGGCCGCTCACCCATGACGACGCGCCCGTGAACTATAGAGGTTGCAAGGATCATCGATCAGGAAAGTTGTGTATTGAAGGGCCGACCATATTCGTGACGCCAGATTTTCTGGACTGCTCTGCATTATTCATTCGGCGTGCCATTGATGAGCATGAGCATCTGGCTGAGGTGTATGGAGAACACTGAGCCTAGCGGACGAACTGTGAAACGCGTTGCGAGGGGAACTGGGCTTGTTGGGCCTGGTCACGAGCCATTGCTGCCAGTTGAAGACGGTGGCTATGCTGCGGCTTCCAGTGAGAGGTGGGAAGCCGGAGCTGCTCTCCATGACGGATTGCAGAGCTAGACGCTGTTTTGATTAGATTATGAAGACAGTTGACACTACTCCATCTCAAAGCGAAACTTTCGGAGATCTCAACGTTTTACGCTCGACTTTTAAGACAGCAGATAACTCTCTTTGAAGAACGGCCTCGTGCAATGGAAATAAGGTCATCCTTGGGCACGCTGAGGAGATTGTGAGAAATAACACATAAGAATGTATCTAAGCGCCTGGCTCTTCTAGCCTCCCCTACCATCTGTAAGATATGCCAAGGATAAGGCAGGCTGGCAGTTAAGCTGCAGTACAGCGACGAACACCACTATCATACTGGCAGTAGGGTCTCCTCTTGCTATTCTAGAAGTGCTTTTAATGACAGCCAAGGGCGTTCTAGACTTGATGTAAGAAGACATCAGCTCAAGTTGCTTGCTCTGCACAGGAAGAATGAAAAGTATTCAAAAGGTGATGACCCTGTTTACACCTTCATCTTCGGCATTTTCTTATACACAAGAAAACCAAAGATAGGTTGCCAGCCCACCTACCGTGTTGTTAAGTCACCCGGTCCCATCTGCCCGGTACAACCGGCATCGAAAAGAAAAAAGCTCCAGAGCCGAGCCTCCAGCAGCCCCGGACCCCCCGGCTAAAGCGCCAATACTGCATGAACCTTACAGGACGGCGGGGCCCCCTGATGGCTACAGTCGGCTCATGGAGCGATCACGCACCTTCGCGCTTTTGGGCTCAAATCCGAAGCTCCTCTTGCGCGGAAACCGAGCAGCTGCCCCTTCCCTGTATGATGCCATCATACAGGGCACCCCCCTGCCGCCACTGTTGGCCAAACGAACCTGCGCCGGTTATCGGACTAGCTGAGCCCAAGAAGACCAGAGCGGAACCCATACCAAGCTCTGCCAGCAGGTACGTAGTGTGTGTGTATGCTTGTACGCAGAGCTGGCTTACATAGCTCCGAGGAAGGGCGAAGCCGCAGCGGCGACGACGAGGAAGCTCCATCGATATCCGTATCTAGTGACTTTTAGTATCAGTCATAGAACCACTCATCAAATTGCGTGAGCCTTTTTTTTTTTTTTTTTTTTTTTTTTGATATAAAAGGAATCAAGCACGGCTTAAAGAAACAGAGACTGCCCGTGACTTGCATCATTCATACACGATTGGCACATCAGCTTCACCGACCGAGGTTTCACACCTGCATACTACGCATTCAAGCACACTGAATCTTGGCTCACATATAGTCACTCTCACAATCGCTTCGTAAGAATCCCACAACAATCTCACCGGATACCGACCATCAATACACACATACAAACACACACTTACAGCCAGAAGCAAATGGCAATCAAACCAATGTCCCCCACAGAAGAATCCGCGCACAAGCGCAACGCCTCGGCCACCAGCGCCGTCCAGACTACCCCGCCTCCCGCGAAGCGCTCCTCCGTCACCGCCCTCCCGCCCGCGCGCCGCGAGTTCCCGCACGCTGTTGCCCTTGTCCTCTACCGCGACGGCGGCGACGGCGACACCTCGACGACCACTGTCCTGGGCGCCTACGCCGGTCTTGCGGACGCCAACGCTGAGGCGCACAGGCTGGCACGGGAACAGGGTGTCGAGGCCGCTGGCAAGGACGCCAGGAGCGACATCACCCCCGCGAGGTGGGACGCCCCCGACGGCGCCTCGTGCTGGGTTGAGATGCACGCCGTCAAGCCCAAGAGCCTCTTGCCAAAGACTGCGTCGGCCGGCGGGTCCTCACCGGCAGGGCAGCAGCCGCCTAAGAAGCTGTATGATGCCGAGGAAGGAGAGGACCCGGACCTGGATGACGATCAGGACGAGGGCGGACACTACGACTAGGGGAGGTGGGGGTGTCTTTGATGCCGTTCGGCTTCGGGCGGGAATGGGAATTCGTTTCAACTGGCGTCTGGGAAGTAAACCCCTATGGCGCTGCGGGTTTGGTAGGCGCAAGGATTGGGCAGACGGATGAATCGTTGAGCGGGATCGAGATTCATGACTCGGCCTGTGGGCTCGAAGTACGCGGGTTTGCTTGATGACTTTCGCGAGACAATGTCTCGACGCACTGTATATACCCCACATGCGATGGACAACGTTTATGGATATTGGATGTTTATCTATTCTATTCCTTGGTATCTAACAAGTCTCTCTCTTCTCTCGTTGTAATATGTTCCATTTTTCTGGGAAACCTACGAGTACTTTACATGATCTTACAACCATTAAAGGAGAATAGATCTAGTCTGGCACGGAACCAAGATGACATTTATAACTTGGCCTTGGGTGCCTCTTGCTGCTGCATCTTCTCGGCAACAATGCGACGCTGGATCTTGCCAGTGGCCGTCTTGGGCATGTTCTCGGTGAAGTAGATCTGAAGCCCTCGGTTAGTATATATCACAAAAACAAACAAGGTAACACCCACCTTCTTGGGAACCTTGAACTTGGCCAGCTTCTCCGATACCCATTTCTTCAAGTCATCGGCTTTGAGCTGCTGTCCGGGCTTGAGCACGACGGCTACACCAATGTCCTGGCCATACATGTCGTCAGGAATGGCGAAGCTAACGGCTTCGGATACGGCCGGGTTACGTGCGAGGACATTGTCAAGCTCGATGGGGCTGATCTTCTCGCCACCCTTGTTGATGAGCTCCTTGATGCGGCCCGTGATAACGATGTAGCCGTCCTCATCCTTCTTGCCCTGGTCACCCGTGCGGAAGAAGCCGCCCTTGGTGTAGGACGAGGCGTTAGCGCTCTCGTTGTTGAGGTAGCCCTTGGTAACGTTTTCGCCACGGATGCAGATCTCGCCCTCCTGGCCCTGCGCAAGCTCGTTGCCCGCCTCGTCGAGGATGCGTACGTCAACGCCCTGGCCGAGACCCACGGTGCCGGGCTTGCGCTTGGCAGGGGGGAGGGGGTTAGATGTCATCTGATGGGCGGCCTCGGTCATGGCATAGGCCTCCAGGACGGGGGCCTTGTACGTCTCCTCGAGCTGGTGGAAGACGGTGGGCGATAGCGGAGAGGAGCAGGAGCGAATGAAGCGGATGTTGGGCAAGGGGCTGGGAGTCGGATTCTTGAGAAGAATCTGGTGGATGGTGGGTACGGCGGTGTACCAGTTGGCCTTGTGGGTGATGAAGTCTCCCCAGAACTCAGTGGCGGAGAACTTGGACGGGACGACCATGGAGCCACCGCAAGCCAGGGGTGCGAGGAGACCGCAAAGAAGGCCATGAACGTGGAAAAGGGGCATGACCAGCATGGTGCGGTCCTTGTCCGTCAGCTGATACGTGTTCTGGATGTTCTCTGGGGGTCTTATCAGCTATGTAATTATAATGATGGTTAAGATTCGAACTTACTCATCGTTCTGGTCAGATTGCGGTGCGTCAGAGGCACCTAGGCTGTCTTAGCTTATCAAGTTCTTGAAGTTCAGTTCGCGAGTATCCCTTACAACTTTGGGCCTGGAGGTGGTTCCGCTGGTGTGCAGCACCAACGCAACGTCGTCCTCTTCGGCCTTCAACACCTTCTCACGACCTTTGTCCTTGAGCTGGCCGAGGTCCTTGACATCCAACGCGACCTCTTTCTTGGACTCATCCCAGTACGTCTCGGCGACGGCAGCATTGAACTTCTTGGCAGCCTTGACGGCGGGAGCACCAGCGGCATATGCGCCCTTGGGAACCAAAACAATGGCAGACTTGACGTCCTCAATGTAGAACTCAAACTCGTCTTGCTTGTAGGCCGGGTTCAGCGGGGCGGCAATACCACGCTGCCATGAGGCAGCCAAGAATGACACGATGAACTCATACGAGTTGACGGTCGCAATGGATACGGGCGAACCACGGGTGATGCCGATGTTTGCCAGTTTCTGCTGGAAGGCCAAGGTCTCCTTGACCAGGTCGCCGTAGGAGACGGTGAGAGCGCTGGGCTTGGACGGCACGATAATGGCCGTCGAGTTGGCCGGCCCGTTCATAGCGGTTTGGAGAGTCAAAGCCATTTTTGCGCACACTCTTGCACTTCTCACACTCTCTTGTGGCTCAATACGTACGTCCGGAGCTAGAGGGCACTTGAGAAGAGGCGACGACCAGCGACTTCGGAGGAAAATTGGTTGTGAGATGAGGCGAGGTGAGGTAATGCGGGATCAGATGAACAGGTCTAAAGCCACAGCCAGGGAAAAGGTATTAGAGTTGCAGCAGGCAATCCTTCAAGGAGATATACAGTTGATCCGTTCAACGGTGTAATCAACAAGTAAATAGTACAAGACGGCGTTGGAGGACAAGTAAGAAGTTGAGGCACTGACGGCCGATTGATAGGGAAACCTGACTGTGACAATGATGTGCTCGGGACCAGCCCAGTCTGGGACAAGCCGGGTTGCCCCCGGTCGCCCTTTCGGTCCACTGAATCACGTCCAGCGCAATGCCCAGATCAGTGGATGGCTCTTCCCCACGGAAAAATACACTTGGGCGGCGAGCTGGGTGCTGTGCTGGAACACGCAGGGGTGGGCTTCCAGTGGACCAAGTGCCCCCAAATGCCCCCCTGATCGAGGGTCACCAAAGGCGCTGAAACCCAGGCACGCTGGCAAGAACGGCGGTACAAGCAAAGTGGTGGACTGTAGCAAATCCCGTCTCCAAGTGGAGCAACGAGTGGGCCACAGCTCTGCAGCTTCAACTTCGATAGCACCCAGGCTGAGAGGACATTGCAGGTTTCTTTGCGAAATCTAAAGGATTCGCCCCCCGTTCTCGTCCGCCGCGAGCCACGCCCCAGGAACCGAACGATCAGAGCTCCGTATACGGTATTAAGCTCAAAATCTTACTCCGTCGCCTCGAACCCGAGTTCAATGGCAGCGCCGCCCCCTCCACCTCCGCCGGCGCGAGGCGGCCTGTCCCTTTACGCGAACCTCCTCGACCCGGCCGCCGACTCCTCTACGGCCACCATTTCGAGCGCGCCAGTCCGCTACAACCAGGATGGTACCGTCGCCGACGCGAAAGATGAGGCGGCAGCGAAGATGCTTATAGACCCCTGTAACTCATCGCCTTCTTAAGCTCCTTGTTCTCGTTCGTCTACAGAAAGCTTACCACCTCGTCCTTGTCCAGCCCTTCGCTTCCAGCCCATTCGCAGGCCGCAGGCCAAAACGGCAAAACCAAAGCCGTCCTTCCCCAAAACAATACCCGGCGCGAACGCCTCAGCAACAGTAGCGACGGCGACAACACCGTCGCCCGCCTCCGCGCCCTCGATAGCGGCCCCGCAACAGCCCCCGCCGCCAAAGAGCACCCTCGCCGACTGGGCTGTCACCGAAGAGGACGAGTGGCGGTACACCGCGAACGCGGGCGGCGATAAGTCCCACCAGCGCGGCGGCCGTCGGAAGAAGAAGAAGAAGGGACACAACGACCAGCCGGCCGAGACGAACTGGGACGACATCTACGACCCGACCAAACCTACAAACGTCGATGAGTATCTCCGTAGCAATGAGCGCATCCGCGAGGTGCAGGAGTGGAAGAGGCTGCTCTACCGTCACCGGAAACGTAGGAGCTCAAGCGAGGACAGCGAAGACGAGCCCGCCCGGAGGCCGGCAATGAGTATGCTTCTCCAATATGTTTTACATGCGTGCTCGCAGACAAACCGTGACTTACACCATGCCAGACCAGTTCGCGCCGCCTCCCGAATACTCCTTCGTCCCTCCGCCCCCGGCCTCCCCACCGCCGGCTTCCGCGGCATCGGTTACGGACGACACAACCGGAGACGACGCTTACGCCCGCCGTCTAGGCGTCTCTGGAGCAGCGCCGCCACCTCCCACCGACGCTAGCCTTCCTCCTCCTCCGCCGCCCCCGCCGGGCGCGGCAACCATATCCCGCGCCCCCGTTCGCTACATCCCCTCTACAGAACCGAAAACGGCAGCAGAAGAAGGCTCCGACCGAGACTCCCCTCCTCCGGCCCTGGGCCTCGGCGCCACCCCCGTCGCCGCTGATGACGAGCTACCGGCCCCGCGCTCCTCCCGCCCGGGTCAAGCGGGCTTCGCCCAGCGCCTCATGAGCAAGTACGGCTGGACAAAGGGCTCGGGTCTCGGTGTCGACGAGTCCGGCATCGTTAACCCGCTGCGGGTGCAGGTCGAGAAGCGTAAGAAGAGATCCGACGCCGAGGGCGGCGGCTGGGCCGAGCCCGCAAATCGCGCCAAGGTCCTTGGCGGGAAGCGCAAGAACGAAGGCGAGGGCGGCAAGTTCGGCGGGTCCATGAGCGAGGTCATTGTATTGCAGCAGATGCTGGACAACATGGAGGACTTACAGGGTGAGATTGCGAACGGCCTGGGACAGGAGATTGGGGAAGAGTGTGGCGAAAAGGTACGTTTGGCTTCCCTTCCACCTAGCTCCCCATCCTGCTGCAGCTTCGGAATACGAAGACTTGGACGCTTACCACCTCCTGCGGTCAGTATGGTCGAGTAGAGCGCTTGTACATCGACGTTGAGAACCGCCAGGTCTTCATCAGGTTTACGGACCAGGTTTCCGCGCTTCGTGTAAGTTCTCCCGGCCCATCTGAGCTTGGTGTATATACGTAAGGCTGACTGACGTCACTCTGAACAGGCTGTCAACGAACTGGATGGACGAGTCTTCAACGGCAACATCGTGGTGCCCAAGTTCTATGACACAGAAAAGTTCGAGAGGGGGGTCTACAGATAGTGTAGTTACAGCGTCAAATTCGATTCTTCAACTGAACCGCACACTGCCTGATTTGTGACGTCAACGGTATTCCCAACGTGGCTAGAGTGCAATCACGATTTGGTATTACACTTACTATTGGCATTCCAAACCTTGCGATTCATGCATCGGCATAGTTCACAGTGACAAAGAATTATGGACACATAAAAAAGTAAAAAGGTATAAACATCATGTATCTTCAATACACACAACAGCCCTCTCTATCCTCGTTGCCTGCTACCCCCGCTGCCCTGCCAATCTTACACGGTAGCCAGATATCTTCCATCCCACTGCCCGTGCATAGCCACCTATCATCCAAGCTCCTGCCATGCCGCTCGGCCAACCCTGTTCCCAAAATAGTCCAGGCGGGATGATGTTTTGCGCGACATGGACGGGGCCAAGCGATTCAGCGGCGACAAAGCGACGCGTCGGCCCGTAGTTGCTTTTGATTCGTCACGCAAAAGAAAGCGAAAAGTCGACTAGGGTCCGTTACATCTCAACCCATCGTCCAATATTAAATCTAGAGGTCTTCCCATACGTAGGAGATTCCCAGTCTAGGGAAAGTGTGGGGTTTGTGTCGCAAGCTGCAGAAACAGGATTGCAGTAAGGAAAATGCGCAAGCAGTGAAAAGTGTATGGAGAACGCCACCATTATCCGAGTCTGTATTTGAACATGTCCGTCCTTTACAGCAGCTGAGCGAAGCCGAAGAGGAGCGCGGCGCCGAAGATGGCAGTGTTGACAGAGACCATGCCAGCAGCATTGTCAGAGCCATTGCCGTTCTTGGAGCCACCAGCGTTGCCGCCGCTGGAGTTACCATCCTCGTTAGCCTTCGTGTTGTTAGAGCGGCACTTGTAGTCACCCTGGATCTGGCGGCCCTTCATCTTGTTGAAGACATCGCACGAAGTGTCAATATCGCCAGTGGACTGAGTGTCAAAGGCACCCTTCACGTCGTCGAGGGCGGGAAGCGCAACACTGTGAAATTGTCAGATGATTTACTGAAGCTGGCTGGTCGAAATACTTACTCGGTGAAGTTACCGCGGAGCAGGACAGCACCACCAATCTGCTTGAGCTTAGGAAGACCGTCAATCTTGGAGAGCAGAGTGTTGTTCTGGATTGTGAGACCACCTCCGGTCTTGGTCAGGAGGGGCAGAGACAGGTTGGTGAGCTCGACGTTGTTGATGAAGGAGACATCACCGTCTGTCGTCTGGGTCAAGTTGGGGGCAATGAACTCGGTGAAGGTGTTCTTGTCGAACTTGATGGAACCGTTGACAACTGCGAGGGAGTCCATCTGGACCTTGGCGGCATCAGCAATGATGATTTCACCGGCCCAGACGAGGTTAGGGAGAGTGATTCCCAGGTCGGGGCCGTTGGAGTTGATCTCAATGGTCTTGGTGGCGTTAGCCAACTGGTTGCTGTAAGAAACGAGCTGGTTGTTGTTGTTGATGCGGAGGGAGTCGACGGAGGCGACGTTCAGGCCGTCCAAACTCTTGAGGAAGGTGTCGCTGATGAGAATGTCGTTAACCTTGGTGACACCGGCGGTACCGAAGACAAGGGAGCCGAGAGCGGGCAGAGTGACCCAGTTGATGGAGCCAACAGTCGTAAGCGAGGTGAACGCCAGGTTGGAGAGGACGGTCAAGCCTTGCAACTGGAAGGCACCCTCGACGGAGGCGAGGGTAGAGCTGCTGAGACCAACGAGCTGGGTGACGTTGGTGACAATCAGGTCGCCCTTGATGGTCTTGGGGCCATTGATGTCGATGTTGCCGGTAATGTCCTCGGCGATCTTGACGGCGCCGTTAATCGTGCTGCAGGGGATGTTGGTGGCCATGGCGGCATCGGTAATAGTGACGGTCGCCGAAGAACAAATGTTGGCGCTCTGGGCTGTGAAGCACGCATCGCGGTCAGTTTGATTCTTCCCACAGAGAAGACATGCAGGACAACTTACCAGACACAACGCCAGCACCGAGGGCCGCGAGAGCGGGGATGACCTTGGAGTACATTGTGATTGATTTGGACGCTGTGATGTCCAGGTCAGCAGGCTTGTCAAGCAAAAGTGGCTGAAGGTTTTGTGTAGATGGAAGAATGATGGAAGTGTTGATTCGGGGTGATTCGAAGCAGAGCAAGTGACTCCCGGTTGATAACGCTGAAGTGGTGTTCCAAAAAGCGATGCAATGCCCGAGTGAGAAAAGGCAAGGGGGTAACGGGGTCAATCCTGGGGGCTCAGGATTTGGATACGGGGCCTCGGTGTTTCTTGTGTGTTTCTGAGGGAACCCACGAGCGTCTCTTTCACCCCGATTCTCGACGATGGAAAGACAGTGACGATTGTCGGCGAGAGCTGAGGGCAAAGACGGGAAGGGATAGGAATTGGGCACGGGGTTTGGGGTAAGAGGGGTTGACCATAGAGGAGGAGAGGTAGCAGGCATTCCATAACGCGGCCAGCAGTGGCTGAGGATTTCCTGCCGAGTATTGGCGGCCTCTTTCTCTCGCTCCTTCCATTTGTGCTTGGTGTTTTTGTCTCGTTGCACGATGGCTACGTACCTTGATCCACGTGTGCTTGTTTGTTCTTGCTTCTGCTTCTTCTTCGAGACGCAAGTAGAAGTCGTTACACTTGGATGAGTAGAGGGTTTTTGGGTATGGGGATGAACGAAAGACGGGAATATAATGTCAAGACGAACAGGAAAACGAAGCTGTCACGGAAAGGGAAGAGGGAGAGAATGATCTGGGGAGAGTAATGGAGGGATGAGACTGGACTTTGTGTGGTGCGTTGGATGGCGTGGGCCGGCACTAAGAAGGGTAATCGAGGTAGCAGGAGGGGAGGGTGTGGCTTGAAGGGGAAACACACTTTTGGGCAAGGGGAGGGGAGGGAGTCTGGAAAAGAAGACAGGGGAGAAGACAGGGGAGGACCCACGAGGAAGGGGGGGGTCAAGGTAATCATTACGGTGCTATTCGTGGTGCACATTGCGGGTACGAAGCAACCAAGACAGGGGCCAGGGCCGGTGAGGGTGTGGACAAGACTGGGACCAAGAGACACCAAGAACAGACGGGGTTGAACCGGCCTTCAACCTGGTCTGGCTGGATTGAGCAGGGCATTCGGTCTTGAGGGAGAGCCGAAAGAGAGAAGCAAGGGAGCTGTAATGGCGTGGATGTGACATGAAGGAGAGCAGTGCATCCTTCAATCATCAACAGTTCCTGGAAGCTCCCAGAGGGCGCTGTCGCGTGTGTTAATAGTTTTTTTTTTTTTTTTATATATATATATCTATGGTTTGCGACTCTCTCCACAACGGCGGCAGCCCACGGTGGCCGTCGGTGCCGTATGGCGTTGAGTGGCAGGTACAAGTACATGCAACTCTGTGCGTTTGAACAGCCAATATCGTACCTAGTGTACGCGTACCCGGTACCGAAGTACGTATTGGAAGTCGAGTTGATAGTGGTGCACGGGATGTAGTGCAAGCCAGCTTCTGTTGAACATCCGCCGCAAAAACAAACAGGCAGGCAAGCAGATAGACGAACAGGTAATGGCACTGGCACTGGTATTGGCATTGGCATTGGCAACTGGCAACTGGCAGATAAAGTCTGTGGTATTATTTCGTCAGTGGGTTTCAAAGGAATGGACGTTGACCATGTGCTCAGCCATTGACAAGCACGCCTCACCAACCCCTTTTTCCACCACATTCTACATTTGACAGTATGTACCACTCTATGCCGACCCTGGGCCTGCTTCTTTTCCCTCTCTCTCCCTTTCTCGCCTTCAATATGGGGAACTATATTTGAACAAATTGATGCATCCGGACGGAGCAATAGCCCGTAGTAGCATGTCCTTCTTGGGCTGCTCATCAGAGTGACGATGGAAGCGCGATGGGCACAGCCGCGGAGACCCATAGGGCCAAAAAATACTCTTCAAATAACCCTGCTTCCACCGTTCTGGCGAGATTTGAACGTCTGGGTTTTTGGCCTAGCTTCGCCCATCAGGAACCACTTTGGTGCAGTCCATCTCCTTCTTCGCACTAGTACAGGGGCAAGGGGGCGAGATGATAAGTGGGCCCACGAAGAGTAGTGTGTCGTATTCCCATACCGGGTGTGTTTATAGCAGGGGTGGGCAGGAACAGAACACACACAGACACATACCACTCACTCACTTACTCACCCACTAACTCAAGGAGTAAACGCACATGCAAGCACAAACTTGCCATTGATATCGCCGCTGACTTGCAAGAGTTGACATCTCCACTGCAATACCAATTACCCGATCAGACTGAGAACGGCTGTTAACCACCGTCGGGGGGGGGGGGGGGGCTGGACCGTGGCCCTATCCGGACCACTGGTTGGCGATCCAATCCTCTTTGTCAATCAAACAACTTGAAAATTCTTGTCATAAAATCAATGCGCTGGGCCGGCTGGTGTATACCTTCCAGTTGTCGTACAAACGTTTCTACCCTCTTCTGTGCAGCAGTCGACCAGCAAAACAAAACAACAACAACAACAACAACAACAAACTTGCAATCTCCCCAGCTACATAGAGTAGGTAGACTACAACATGGGGTGGTCTGTACCTTACATTGCCGCTCTTCTCCCTACATAGTAAGGTCTGGCCTGCATGGGAATGGCGGGCGGGCTCTCCAGTTATCCCGTACATGACCCTGCTAAGGTCAGACGCGCAAGAAACAGCCTGGTGCCCACTGCTGGCGGCTTGAGACCTTTCTCGACACTCCTAGTAACTTTAGAAGATACTGATAGGGTCGGTAGCGCCTGAGGCTCCAGCCGGGGCTGCCTTTCTTGCAAAAGTGTCACACTTCATCGACTCCCAGTCCACAAGCAGTCGCCTTCCGAGTTCCAGCGCCAATCAAGACTGAGTCTCCCGAGCCAGGCCTCATCTGGCAATCAATCTGCGGTCCGACCTATTCTAGTTTTTGCCTGCACCCCACGCCGTGTTGGCGCGGATGCTCCGTTGACACCCGCAGCAGCCCCAAAAGCTTCTGCTCGAATCATCAAAACCTAGCAATCAAGCCAAGCAAGGCCCCTCCCTTCCTCGTTGATCATATCCCAGAGAAAAATCATCAAAAATTGCTGCCGAATGCGTACCATTGAGGCCACTACGAATGCCGAGCGACACAAACACCAGTACGCTCTCCATCCACAAAATGTTTCATCTCGACAAGTAGTCTGTTGTTTGATCAAAGGAAGGGGAAAACACTGTTAAATTCAGTTCTAGGACTGCAACACCACTAAAGACTGCCGCTTCGATGACGCAGTTAGCTCGGCCATCCGAATGGCGATGCGCACGGCCATAGCTTACTGCTCAACGATTGCTGCCGTCGACGAGGGTGAAAGCAAGTTCTCAAAGGACCCAAAAACGTCGCCTGATTCTATGGATAAACATCCGCCGCGATTATCAATTCTTGGCGTGCACGCTGCGCTGCCTTGACCACGATTGCAAGCCGCTGAGAGGAGAAGCTGGCTGTGCATAGCGCGACGCGTCGCATAGGAGCTTCTAGTGGCCGGGCAATATGCATTCGGCGCTGCTATTCGTCCAATAGTTCGGATACCGTGGAAGAGATTCATGTGGGGTGGGGCCCGTCCATCATTCTGTGGCACAACTGCACTAAGGCACGCATCGGCCCTGTCAGTCAATCCTATCTCTGCTGCAGTGCGGTGGTAATGTGGTCTGGTGCATGGGACGGAGTACAAATCCGGGGCCATTGACGACAATATCTGGATACGACGGCAATCTTGACGACAATATCTGGATACGACGGCAATCCACCCACCGTCACCACTACATATCCCGAATGATTTGACGGCTCACAGTAGTGCATCGCTAACCGCTTGTCGCACCGACGCTAACCCCTCACGAAGGAAGGACACGCCATCACATATATTTCAGCGAGGCCGGTTCAACTTGTTGGAGGCGCCTGAGCCTACCTACGTCTCTTTGCCTCACGCCGGTCCATCCGCGCTCGGTTTTCTGGAGCACCCCACGGGTTTTCCAGCAGCCCATGGCTGCATCCTCAGTTCTGAGTGGCCGGGACTGAGACTTCCTCCCGGCCTAGGTCTCTCACGGTACCGTGCCGAGACAACGATTGAGACTTGACTCAATGGCATTCTTTGCCATTTTCGCTCCAGCCATCAATGCCCGGCTATTACATCCCGAAATTCGCCTTCTTATCCGTCCAATGCCAATCGCATCATTTCCCGGCTGATGATATCCACACAAGACAGGAGTTCGGAATGAGAAAGGAAAGCAGCAAACCAGGAGAAGAAAAACACACAACTGTCTGCAAGATTGCGCCGGTGCAACCGCAACGCATCATATTACTACATGCCAGTCTTGATTTTCGATATCTAACCTTTGCATCATGCTGCTAGCAAGGGGAGCGCTCGCCCATCCGTATCACGTTAGCGGCACACCCAACCGCCCCCCCAACTCTTGTAGGCCCGCAGGGGGGTGTCCAGAATTTCCAGGCTTTTCGGTGGTTCTGCTCAGCTGCCCTGTTGGCGGCCGTTTCTCACCCCCGTCAACGGCACCGAACGGCGTTAGCCAAACAGGAAGCTCCCTAGACACAAAGGCTGCGACAGTTGATCTCTTATGGCGGCCGATCTGGTCAATTGTGTAGCCGAACCCAGGCATAGAGCGTCTTGGTCTCAGACGGCGGCGCAATAGCCCACTCTGGATCTCCGACTCCAGCAATGAACGCCTTGGTTCTTTACATCTTGGGATCGGCCACATACATGAAGGAATAGGCATTGCCCTGCTAGCGGTGACGCAGATACTTCAGACGTTTATCTGCTATTCTGGTCCACAGATGATAACGGTGACGGCGAGCTCATCCTGCGACAAGACTTCAAACATCAACCCCCCTTGGCTGACGCGCGTTCAATTCACCACCCCAAAGTCACGATGTTCAAGACGGGACGCCGGCGTGATTTAAATCCTCCTGGTACCGCAACTCGCCGCTTGCCCGCCCCTTGAGATGAGCCGCGAAGGTCTATATGCTACAACACTTTTGTGTCTTTGTCACCGCTGGAATTACCACCATGTGTTTGCGGTACTCGTGTCTGTGCGTCGTTTAACCCGCATCGCGTTGGGTCTCTAAGACACAAGAGATTATCCTTCGTATCACCATATAACTGATCGTGATGTCGTCCGATCGACTTAGACAGCTTTTCACCTTGCATTGTGTGTCTAGTCGTGGGCGTCGCGCGGAAGGCTGGTAAAGCTGAAAAGCTTGTTTGCGTCAGTTGGAAACTTCGGGGTCCGGCTGTGAATCGCTCCCGACATTGCTCTGGGGGAACGGCCAAGTTACCACCTGGCCCGCTCAACCCTGCCCGAAAGATGAAGGTGACTTCGCTTCTATCCTGGATGAGCATGCGCCGGGGAAGCATATAGCCTTCGTTCGGTCCCTCTAAACATGAGCAAGAGACGAACGAGATCTCGTGTTATTGGGGCTCGTGTTATTGGGGCTCGTGTTCATTCAAGGAACCCCACATGCCGTACTAGTCTGTGCGATTTCGTGATAATTGGAAATTGGCATTTGGGAAGGTGTTGATTATAGGTGGGGGGGGGGGGGGGGGGGGGGCAAGGTTAGTGAGACTAAAGTTTAATGAATCCGCTGACTGCTTATTCCAGCGTGCTTATATCGGTTTCCTCGACCCTCCACATATACCACATGAAGACGCTGCGATATGGCGCAAATTTGCTCGCCATCTCGGTCATGTCCTTCTCAGACATATACTTCCATTTGCCTCCTCCTTTGGCCTTGAGCTTGGCCACATCCCGTCCGGCAAAGGCTGCCATGCCTCTCTGCACCCCGAGGTCTCCCAGCGAGAACACGTCCATCCTCTTCAGCCCGAAACATGCGAACATCTCAACCGACCAAAGCCCCAGGCCCCTCACCGCGATGAGCTTGTCACGCACCTCTTCATAAGGAGCCTCCGCCAGCGTCTGGGCGCTCAACTCGCCGCTCGCGAACTTCTCAGCCAGGCCCTTGATGTACTCAGCCTTGCGCTGCGACAGACCGGCAGTACGCAGGCGCTCGATGGAAGCAGTGGCCACCTCCGAAGGGTGAGGAAACCTTTTCGGTTCGCCCTCTACCTCTGTGAACAGAGCGACAAACTTATTCTTGATGGACCTCGCGGCGGCGCCGGAAACCTGCTGAGAGATGATGCCGCTGCAGAGGCTCTCGAAGGGATCGACTTTCTCGGCGAGGCCCTCAGGTGAAAATACGCGGCAGTGGTTCTTTTCGATGAGGGGCTTCATTCGCGGGTCCACCTTTATGAGATGGCGGCACGCCTCCTCGAGAATGTTGGCAGTCGTAGTGCGTTTTCCGGGTCCCGCGGATAGTTTAGACGGCGACACGTCCTCGGCAGGATGAGAGGCAATGACACGCGAGGTCTCGGGCGAAATGATGGGGGCGTTGGTCAACTTCGGATCGGCGAGGCGGTTGATGGCCTTGGCCTTGGGCTTCGCCGTTCTGTTCGCCCGTTCAGCGATGATGCCAACGGCGCTGGGAGTAGGCGTGACTGGCGGAGGGATCGGGGTGATTGGTGTAACCTTTCGGCCCCGTTTTCTCGGCGGCGTAACAGGGTCCGAAGACGACACCGGATCGGCGAGCGTAGGTCCTGTCGGGGATTTTCTCTTCCGGCTCTTTGTGGTTAGTGGTGCAATCGGCGGAGGTGCGATATCTGTGTGTGCTTGAGCGCCCAGACGCGCTGAGCGCCGGGTAGCCATCTTTGCTGTATTCGTTGATGACGATGCCGATGACCAACAGTAATATTGTGAAAGTTTGAGCGAGCACCGAGAGAAACGTAGGCTGTTGGAGGCGGGGAAAGAGCCTGGAAATGATATCGAGCAGCGTGTGAAAGGTGTAATCCGACGTGCAGATACGAAGGAAATTGGCGGGCGACTAACCAACTGTAACCTCATTCAGATGCTATTGTTTTACGTGAACATGTCAGGAAGCTCAGGAGGTGAGTCAGCATTGAGTATCTGAGGCCAGTTCGGTGTACTTGATGCGGCAACTTGGAAGAACCCAGAGAGCTTTTGCTACGAGAGCATGCCATAGTCAATCGCTCACAGTGGCAACATGGCAGCTAGGCGCCCCGGCTTTGTCATCTGAAATGTAGTTAGGGGTTGCCAATCGGGCTGAGGCGGCTTATTAAGCAGGACTATCATCCAATGGCCAACCTGTCATCCCTTACTACAATGTATGTTATGGATGGTGATAGAGACAGCTCGTGCGTCCCCTTTGTGTCACTGCAGCCCCGAGCGGTTGATGCTTGCCCGAAGTTTAGCAGGGCAGCTGCATGTCCCCACGTCCCTCGTCCCCAGATACCGGATCGTATGTGATTCGATGGCAAGTGTGATCTCACGTGCTCAAAATCGTTTATAATGAGACCCATAATGGCTTCTACCGCTGATGGTGCTGAGCCCCGGGAACATCTCCTCATTCCTGTCCCTTCCCACATCCCCAGCGGTGCAAGTGTTGCGTGCGTGACCGAAAAGTGCGGGATAGTGTGGGTTATGATGGGTTACTGTTCATAATCCCTGCCCCTCCTCCTCTCCCTCTCCATCTTTTTTGGATTCTCTTGTCAAGACACACCGGCACCTGTGGTGTGTCTGAGACTTTGTTTGGAGAATGTAACTGGAATGAATTAGGACATCGTTTTGTCGAAGGAATATGGCAGATACCTTCCGCCGCTGCACCAAAAGCTTGAATCTTCTTTCAATTTTTTTTTAACCATTTAGTCGTGTCAAGGGGTCCCTTGCCTTGGGCGTAGAAGCCGTTAATACATGTACCAATTAAGATGCAGGCATCGGCAACGGCGAACGGCTCCAGCCTAGTAAATCGCCCAGGCCAGTATCGGGGAGTCGCTACCTACGATGGCATTTGGTGCCGTGACGTCGGATATTGGGCTCAGTAAGGGTGGGGCTGCATGCCATGGGTGGCCATCCATCGATGAACAAAGAACACAAGGAGCTAAAGCCTTTACAAACGCAATGATGACTGCCAGGAAACTCCAGAGAGTCGGCGGGCAGGTACCGCCGCTGCCGATCGTTGTCCTACACCTTTGCTGGGCCGAGAACAACCGGCTGTGGGTTTTTTATTTAAGAGGGGAAATGGAGAAATAAGACTTCGCTGTTCTTCAGTGCTGTAGCCACCCTAATCCTCTAGATATTAGAGCGAGATGGCGATTCTCGGCTGCTCATGCGTAGGCACTGGGCAGGCCTCGCCCGGCCCCTGGAAGCCACTGGGGTAGGCCCTGCCCAGTTCTCCTCATGCTTTCCCGTGAGATAACCATATCTTGGCGTGACGGTTGGGTCTGAGCTGATTTCCATTTGCTGATCATTGCGTTATATCCTTCATGCTACGGATTTGTCGGTATGCAATGATAACGGGTCCCATCGCTCCTTGATGAAAAAGACAAATAGGGGCGTATGGGCCAGATGACAACCATATCCGTTTAATCCAGGGACGTTTTGATAGACGAGCGAAATGTCGTGTAGTCGGATATCAAGGTATAGCGCCTTGAGCGAGTGCAGAAGAAACGTTGAGAAGAGATTATATCTTACGAAGAAGAAAAGAGGACAGGTGCCGTTAAGTTGCGGCACGGTCTTTTTTCTCCTGAGTCCAGAAGCGCTTGGCGGTTACGGCAATCTCGCGTGCTGACAAGAGGATAGTGTCGGTACAAAAGGGTACCTACTTGGCTAACGTGGTTAAACTTTTTGACGCCATGCTATTGGCTCACTGATCGTATCCTGCTATGCTACCATCGAGATGCGGGTTGCAGCTTCTGTCGTATCCGTTCCAAGGTCGGCAAAGTGCCTTGGGGTTCCGTGGCCCTGATCAAGTTGGCTTTTGATGCTTCTGCACCCTGGCCGGACCGCAGAAGGTTACGTGTATTGACGGTGCCCCAGTCTCCGCCCTGTCCTGCCTGTTACGGTACCTACCTAGACAATCCGGAGTCTGCGATCGTGGTGTGCTGCTGTGGCCCGCCTGTGTCTGCTAACCCGCCTGCTTCTCCCACATATGGTACTTGCATGTACCTTACCTCCTTCCACCAACCAAGCCTGCTTGCCTTGACTTGTCTTAGCCTATCCCATCCAAGCCTCTGTCTCCCAAACGCCTTCCTTCCCGGTCGACCTTTTTTTTGGGGGGCCCTTTGGCGTGGTTCCTTTCAATCAATTCCTTCCATCCCCTTCTGCCTGGGCTTACCCAAACGTCCCTCGTTCGTTCTTGCTCTTGTCTTCAACAAAAATCCTGGCCAAAACCATCGCCCTCATCAAAGGCACAACGAGGCTGAAAGACGACCGGAAACCCGTTGTCCCAAGACTTTGTAGCCGCATCGCATTCGTACACCCGCAAGAACCGTGGAACCACTGACGTCCCGCCTACCTTTTTGGCACCTCAATCCTTATCAGTTCAATCGGGACACTTGATTTTCGTCAGCCTTGGCCCACTACCCCCTTCTGAGGAGAGTGTGCTATCAAGACTGACATCTATCGGACTACACAAAACCGCCCAAACAAACACCTCCTTGCTCCCAGCCACAACTTGTGGAAGTCGGACTTGCTCGACGAGGTGCTGCCTGACATTTCTTCTGCGCCTATCGTTGCCTCTATCTGGCTGCCCCCTCTAGCGAAATATTGCCGCAATCTTGCGCGCGACAAAGCGACGTCACCGACAACAACTTCAAGGACGCCGTCTCATCTTGTCTCGTCTGCGACACTGCTGGCTTGGACGCTCGCTGTGCCAGGATACACACGACGTTATCTTTTCTTTGTAAGGACGTGTTCTAGGGTGGTATCCCAGACCACCCAAACCCATTCCACAGGAGCCATGCTTCTTCCCAAAGGTGGAATCAATTGGAAGTCTGCCCAATCCAGGCTGCCTCCTACCAGAGCGATATGGGCTTTCCTGACCAAGACGCGCTTTCTCTTTCTCGTCGCCGTTACCGGCGTCGTTCTGCTATTATGGCGCGGTATTCGCTCCTCAGCCTCCGAGATGCAGAGGTACGTTGTCAACAGCCCTGGTAACCGCTGCTCCTCAGGGGGCGCGATATTTTTTACATGGCAATGCGCGCACGCGCGCCATGGACAAGACAACCTGCTAACATGTAACACTGCACAGCTTCTACTGCTGGGGCCCCGCGAAGCCGCCCATGGAGATGTCGCTCAATGAACAAGCTTCGTGGGCTGCCCACCTCCAGACCCCCGTCATCTTCAACCACCACGAACCCCTGGAAATCAACCAGAGCTCGATTCAACACGTCAACCTTAACCCCATCAAGTCAACGCGCAACGCTGTCACCAACGAGGAGCGCGTCCTGATTCTCACTCCACTCAAGGACGCCGCCCCTTACCTATCCAAATACTTCGAGCTGATCGCCGAACTGACCTACCCTCACCACCTGATTGATCTCGCCTTCCTCGTCGGCGACTCCAAAGATGATACCCTTGCCGTTCTCGCCTCTGAGCTGGATCGCATCCAGAGTCGTCCCGACAAGATCCCGTTCAACAGTGCCATGGTTGTCGAGAAGGACTTCGGATTCGAGCTCAGTCAAAGTGTTGAAGAGCGCCATTCTTTCAAGGCCCAGGGTCCCCGACGAAAGGCTATGGGCCGCGCTCGCAACTATCTCCTCTCTGCTGCTATGAAGCCTGAGCACTCCTGGATCTACTGGCGCGATGTCGACATCGTGGACAGTCCCAAGAAGATCATCGAGGACTTTGTTGCCCACGATACCGATGTCCTCGTGCCCAGTGAGTCAACATGCCATGGATCTGAAAGACAGACTATGCTAACAGTCTGACAGACATTTGGTTTCATCGCTACCGTGATGGCCGCGATATCGAGGGCCGCTTCGACTACAACTCCTGGGTCGAGTCCGACAAGGGCCGCAGACTTGCAGCAAGCTTGGATAAGGATGTTGTTCTCGCCGAAGGTAGGACAAAATGTCACTTATCTCACATTTAATGCTTACGAGGAACTAGGCTATAAGGAGTACGACACCGGTCGCAGATATATGGCCAAGGATGGTGACTGGCGCAACAACAAAGACGAAGAGCTTGAACTAGATGGCATCGGCGGCGTCAACATACTCGTCAAGGGTGACGTCCACCGATCAGGTTGGTATTTCCTGGGCACTTTTGGCATTTGCGCTTTTTAACAACATTAGGAATCAACTTCCCGTGCTACGCCTTCGAGAACCAGGCGGAAACAGAAGGCTTCGCCAAAATGGCCAAGCGTGCCGGCTACCGTGTTGTTGGTCTGCCCAACTACGTTGTTTGGCACATCGACACTGAGGAGAAGCCTGGAAACGCATGATCCTTTGTGGCTGGGCTTTTGGCCTTTTTCGATTGTACGACCGTTTTTCTCCGATTCATCCGCCGAATGCGGCTGACGGAACACAGCACTGTATGACCACGTAACGATACACACACGAGGTACTTGGGAGCGTTTCACGACGACGAGAAGCATTTCCGGATGCTAGTCTAAAAGTTTCTTGGGCTACGGATGATCGGCAAGAGGCTTAAATCAAAGTCTTGGTTGCCTATGCTGGCTGCCCTGGTACTCAACAAGTTCGGCTTCCTGCTACCTATATATTCAACGAAACCCCAACAGCCTTTTCATGGCTCACCCTTGTCCACTTGACGCGGTTGGCCAGGGAACACAAAATCAACAGAACCAAGAGGGATGCTCTTTTTGTCAGAACAGGCGTTTCATACCAGATGGAAGTATGTATCGCTGTAATAATAGACTTGGTTGTATCACCTGTTAGCATAGGAGGGATAAACGTATCGCCTGTTGTAGGAAGGGAAGCCCCCTATTTGGCCTCGGACTTCTGGGATGGTGATAATGGCAGGCAGCACTACATCGGAAGGAGACCTACTTGGTGAAGTTTTCTCCTGGCGTCTGAGTGTGATATTTAGGGTATGAGGAAACTCAGGAGTCTGAAGAGGCGTAATTTACACATTTTGAATTGTCTCCAATTCTCGGTCGTTTGCTCATGTGGTTTTGTTGCTTGTTATTGGCTCTGCGTCGTTGAATATTAGCTACCTTGTGAAGGAGGATAAATTCAAACCAGATATTGCGGCGACTATATGTTGTGGGATTGATTTTGGATAATGCCATCGTATTCCTTGGCCCGTAATGTGCAGGTTTCTCTGGTCATAGGGACCGCGTTGGCTCCATGTTGGA